TCAGATGGGATATTTTCCTAATTCTCAAGAGTCTATGATTTAATAAGTATTAATTATACTTACAAAAAGAAAACTGTGACAGCAACAGCCACAACAACAAATGAAAAAGCCCAAAAGGCCATTGCTTCTTTTATCTAACTCTAAGTACATAATGAAAAGATTTAAAAATCTTATTTCCAAACACCATGACAATTGCATCAGAAGCCCACACAAAGACTATTTCAATAAGCGTATGCTCCCAAATATATGTTACTCTAAAAATTACCTTAAACACTTGATATGGTGCCAAGAACATAACAGTCATATGAAAATACTTTCTGGCTAGTTCCTTCAGTTTCCCCTCTTTCTAAAGAGGGGTGGGTAATATTTGTTAATACTACTCAATAGGTTTAGTACATAAAGATCAATGAATAAGCCTTTGTCAAGCCCTTTGGCCCAATCCCTTGGAGGAAACTCTCTAGCATCCTTGCTCCTCTCTGAAGATGGAGTTAAGTTTACATTTCCTTTACCACAGTTTAAGAAGTTAGTGACTTACCACCTAAAGTTTCTATTAACTGCTCTGTGGAGGGTTCCGGGTGGTTCCTCAGGAGAGTATAGATGCTCATCACCATTCCTGGGGTGCAGAACCCGCACTGGGTGCCATGGCCTTTAGCAATCCTTTCCTGAAAGTAGAGAACACAGGGTCCAGCACAAAAGCTTAAAGGCTTAGGGGTAGGAAGCTCTCAGAAAGAAAGAGAGGCTTCTGATCGGCACAGCTAAAGGTAGGTACAGGTTATCAACTGCAAGTGCTGACTGTCCACATTTAAGATGATAAGGGAAGTTTTCTGGAAAGAGATTCCATCAAGGTAGTTAGGAGAGGAAGTCCTTAATGTCAATCCAGTGCATTACTTTAAGAGCACCATTTGAACTTAATCAAGACCACAGAAAATGAGATTACCTGCTTTTATTTTGTCATTTCCCTAAACTGCTATCACTTGGAAAGAAGGAAGGGAGGGAAGGAGGGAAGAAAGGAGAGAGGGAGGGCGGGAGGGAGGGAGGAAGGAAGGAGGGAGGGAAGGCAGGGAGAATTGTGGGATTTATGGTAAGGGCTTCTGTCCAGGAAGAAAGCTCCAGGTTTTCCACTTCTCATTTTTTTTTTTTCCTGCTCTTTGAGGACACCTGGTGCTTCATTCACTTTTGGACATTTTGACTAAGGAAACTTCAGCAAACAAGTTGTAAAAATCCCATGCAAACTTGGCCCTGAGACCACCATACCCAGCTGGCATGTCTGGGATGGCACAGGGGCCGGCAGGGGACAGGAGAGAAGCAGGCGGTGATGTTCCTGCCCCTCTGGCCCTTGGTTCGTGGTCTGTCAGCAACGTGCACGGAGCACCAGTTCCTTGCAGTGTGGGAAGATGTTTTTAAAAGGAGATATAACCCTTGCCCTAAACAAGTTTGTAATTTGTGAGATATGCAACATATATGGGCCAAAAAAAAAAAAAAAAGAAAGAAAGAAAGAAAAAGAGACAACAACAAAGTTGATTGAAGACTTGATTGGCAAAAAATGCCAAACTAAAATATTCAGGTCCCTAACTGAATGTTTCTAGCAGAATTAGTAGCATGTTTCTTTATACAGACCAAATACAGAATACGTATCTCTGCTTTCCTCATTTTTGTAACAGGAAGAATGAATTTTTCCTCCTAGTTTTTGTGCATAGGACCCAAAGCATCCCTCAAGGGAGACCTTCTTTCTGAAGCAATGAGACATCTAAAGTGACCCACACTGTGACCCACTCCCTCCTCACCGCCCCTTCCCCTCTTTAATGGAAGCTTCAAATAGTAATAGAGAAAGCCACAGACCTAAAAAGGAAATAAAAAAAAGGGTAACATTTCCTATTGTAAATGCCTTCTTTGTCCTATAAAGCCATGCTCAGCCTTGGCCAGGACGACTGAAGAAGCCACCTAAAGACATATTTCTCCTGAACTCATTAAGACATGCTCTCACCTGCACGGGGTGAATTCTGGTTTTGGTGCTTCCAACACCTTCCACGGTGGTGATGGCGGCCCCATAGAGAGAGCAAATGGGCACCAGGCAGGCAGTGACAGAGAAGTGACTTCAGAGTTTGTATAACGAAGCTGAGAAAAATTAAAACAGTGACGGAGTAATTTCCAAAAAAAGAAAAGGAAAAATGTATTTAGATGATTATAGTAATAATTACTTTGACATGAATGTAATTAATCAAGTGCACATTAAAGCGAGGCCATCACATAAATCATTTTGAATTTAGCTATGGTTCTCTAAAAATAAAGGATCTTTTACTTGAAATTAAAGCCATTTCACCCTCCAAACTATTTTGCTAAAAAAAAGTGTCAGGAATTGAAATGTTCTCTATTTACCTGGTATTTACTTTTTCCCTTTTCAGTTTGTCAGTTGTGATGGCTGGTCCAATAATTACACTAGTGTGTACATGATACACTTCAAATGATCTCTAGCTTATATGTGATCTTATAAAAAGCCAGGAAGATAAAGGGAAGACGTTAAAATGGGACCACCTAACAGGAAAGTCAGCAGTAACGTCACCAGCAGTAGTTCCGTGATTGGGAGCAGTGGTGGTTCGGTGTAGAACTCTCACAGGTGACTTGCATTTGACTCTCGGCCTGTGCACCTCAGGCACAGCTGCCCAGTCTATCAGTGGAGGCTTACATGTTGCAATGATGCAGAACAGGTCTCAGGGGAGCTTTCAGGCAAAGACGGCCTAGGGAGAAAGAACTGGCTATCTACTTCTGAAAATCAGCCCATGAAAACACTGTGGGTCACAGTGTGGGTTGCACAGGCCTGAGCAGCATTTCCTTCTGTTGTGTCTGGGGTCACCATGACTTGGGGCTGACTTGAGGGCAGTTAACAGTGACAAGTTCAGGAGGGCAGGTAACTTTGTCTGGTTCACTCTTCTGTTCCCAGTGACAGGAGTAGTTCATTGGTTTGGTGAATAATCGGGACCAGTGGGCCTTTCCCCAAATATTCAGGCTGCTGAATGCACTCATTTCATCTCTTCAGAGGAGAATGAGAGAAGTGCATTTGGTCTGGAATTTGTTCGTCTACCTTCAGGAGAATTATTAGGAAGGGTGAGGCAACAGGCTTTTAGACTTGTCCCGGGGAGATCACATAACAGGGAGAAACTGGGCTTTACGCGCAGACCTGGGTCTCAGGCTCTAACACCCACTGGCTCTGTGGCCTTGGTTAAATTACAAATTCCCCTGAACTTCAGTTTCACGTATTTGTGTAATGAAGATACTGAGAACAACCACACATCTGACTACTAGGGGGCAGAATCTACATAGCAAACCTCTGCTGAATTAGTTGAATTCTGACGATTCACTTTTAAAACAACTGCAAATTTACTGTTTCTAGCATTGGAATATTTTATTTCTTGTCAAAATAGAATGTTGTTTACTTTCATTTTAGCTCATAAAAACTGAAGTTGCTCAACTTCCTTTGTTGAGTGGGATGTGAGCCAGGAATAAAAAATCTTGTGGGAAATCAACATGGGAGTCACATGGTCTAATTTTGGAGGAAAGATACCGGATCTTTTTAGAGATGGGGTTGTATCTTGAGATCATCACTGTGCAAGCACCACAATCCCCTCCTCCACAGCCATACTTGGTCCCTGTGAGTCCGACTGGAAGGGCCAAAGTCAAGGAGAAAAGAGGAACTTAAGCTTCTCATCCTCAGATTTTCACACATGTGGAGAATGACTTCACTTTCGGAATAGGTACAGTCCTTGAGATACCCAGGCAACACGGCTTTATGGATTGAATTTTGTTCCCCAAAAAAAGCTGTGTTGAAGTCCTAACCCCTGCTCTGGTGAATATGACCTTGTTTGTTATGAAATAAGGTTTTTCTTTGTAGATGTTGTCGTTATCAAAGTCATATTTGAGTGGGTGGTTCCCAACCCTAATCTCTTCTGAGTGGTGTATTACAAAAGAGGACAGAAACAGAAAGAGAGTCACACAGGGAGTAAGCAGATCCACGTGACAACTGAAGCAGCTGCGTCTACAAGCAGGAGAGGAACACGGAGAAATACCAAGGATCCTTGGCTACTACCAGCCACTAGGAGGGAGGCATGGACAGTTCTCTCCCAACACCCGCAGAACAAATCCACATACTGATACCCTGCCTCTGGACATCTAGCTCCTAGAACTGTGAGAAAATACATTTCTGTTTTAAAGTCACCCATTCTGTGGTATTTTGTTATAGTGGCCCGAAGAAATGAAGACATCGTACAAGTAACTGGTGCCCTAGTATAAATCAGTTAGAATACCACATCTCGTAAGAAATGATTCACTGACACATGAGTAATAAGGGCAGCCATTTGCCAAGGGAAAGGAGTCATCCACATCGGGGATGGAGACTTCTTTTAGCCTGAAGTCCTGATCATTCCTGGTTTAGAAAGACTCCAGCTTTGACTTCAGTTCAGTGCTATCTCTTTTATTTTAATTCATACAAAGTCAGGGGAGAGGGAAATGTCCAAATAGCATCCAAGTCACCAAGAATGGAACATTTCCAATCTAATTGGAGCCTCCACTATACCAAGTCTTTGAAATGAGGAAATGTAGAATGATTGGAAAACAGTATAATACAACTTTGAGTGCTTGTCCTAAAAAAGAAGAAGAAACCTTTAACAGTCTGACATAGGATGCCTGAACTCTCAATTCATTCATAAACTGGTGATGGATAGGAGGGATATGGTCAGTTGGAATATCTTGTCTGGGATGGTATGGGACATACCTCCAATTCTGTTGTGACACATTTATCCAGTTATATGAATATGAAAATCCCGAAGTGGAAAGACTGCCCACAGAGTACTGGCATTTGTAAAATTATGCACAATAGCAAAAAGATGGAAACAACCTAAGTGCCCATCAATGGATGAACGGATAAAACAAATTGTGCTACACACACACTATGGAATACCACACAATGCTAAAAAAAAATAATGACAAGTCCATAAAACATCTCACAGCACAAATGAATTTGGAGGACACTATGCTGAGTGAAACAAGTTGATCACAAAAGGACAAATATTGTATGAGGCCACTATATGTGTGTGTGTGTGTGTGTGTATGTGCGTGGTTTACAAAAATAATAAAACACATCACTAAGTAGAAAATAAATTAATTTTATGCATCTAACATTACAATGACTTTTTAAATCAAATAAAGCTATAGTTTCTTAGAGCATAAATATATAGAAGAATGGCCAAAGACAGGTATATCATCATAATTAATGCTTTAAAACAAACAAACAAACAAAAGTTTACACACAGAAAAAAAAATCACTTTAATGGTTACGAGAAATAGGAGGGGGAGGGAGGGAAAACTACTAACTAGATAGAAGACATGTCTTAACAATGGTGACAAGAAAGGCAATAGACAATATGGAGGAAGTCAGAAAATAAAAGTAATGAATGAAAAAAATAACAAAAACCTATGGAGCATAGTTCCATTGTGACACACAGGGAGTTGCACAAATCAGAGTCGACTCCACAGCACTTGGTTTAATACAGGAGGTACCTATTTTTACCCTGTGCTTGAAGTTTGGGAATCAATCAACCTCCATGAGGAAGACTCGTCAGCCCACTTCAGGGCTCAATTTTTGCTGACCCTCAGTTTATGGTGACCCTGGCTCTCCAGAGCTTCCATGGGTCAGTTCCATGGAGGAGTTCAACAGGAAATGACCACAAGCTCACAGCTGGCTGGGCAGCCTCCCTTGGAGACCAACGCAGGAACTTCAGCAACATGTGACAGTGAGCAAGAGGGAGTCTCCATTTCTTTTCATAGATTACATGGAATTTGCAGCACACAGTACCAAGTGCCTGTAAATTAACATTTCTCAGAACAAATCAGGGTCTCCAGCAGTTGGGTTTCAAAAATCCACATTTTGCACAAAATCTAGGATGAACATTATCTTTGTTGAATTCACTAAGAGTGAATAATTACAAATCTTTTGATCAGCAAGAATGAAAGAGGAGTAGTATTGGAAAGTCAAAACTTTCCAATATATCATTCCCCTTGCTAGGTGAGCCACTTACTTGACTCCTTTCATTCCTATGCACAATCAAAATGATTGTAATGAAGCATGATGAAAGGAAAAGTTCTATAAATGCAAGGAAAATTATAAAGTTTCCAGAGTTTCTTATTTGCTTTGCTTTCCCAAACAAACAAAAGGATATGTTTTTTCCTCAGGTACAACAATAAATTTACTTCAGGGTCTGGATTCTTCTCGATGACCTGTGCAGAGGAAATGATTGTATAGATTGAGGCAGCTTCCCTGTAGCCCATTATTCTGAACAGAAAGAATCACTGAGAATATGTTTGATCTTGTTTTCTTGGCTTGATCAAATATCACTCTTTGCAATTATAAAATTACATAACACTCTATTGTGTTTGGCTTTATTTCAGCAGGACAAATGTTTGGCTCTTTTTCCAGAGGATAACCAACAAGAATTTGCATTCTAATGCAAGACTTGTTTTGGGAAAATAATAGAAGATTACGAAATACTGAATAGTTACAAGCATTCATTTCATATTCTTGAGTTCGCACAGTTGAAGGAAAGGAAAGAAGAACTGATGATAACAATTTAATTCTTATCACCACCTGAAAACATACTCTTTGTTCTTTCTTTAAATTTGGAAAGTTAAGCAAACAAGACCTTGGCAGCAACAGACAGATACCATCCTATCTGCACCCACAGGAAAACGTTCACACAACAACTCACCACCACCTCTCTTTAGTGAACGAATTCCAGAAGACTCGCCAACTTCTTAAGAGAGGGAGCATGATGCAGGGGGAAGCTCATAAACTTTGGGGTGAGGCAGATGAAAACTCAGGTCTCACTACTGCTGGGGACCTGGGACACTTTAAGTACCTGCCCTGAGCCTCCATTTCTTTTCATAGATTATGTGGAGTGTGCAGCACACAGTATCATTGTTCTGTTTCAACTTTGACTTCTTCCTCTTTGCCAGTGGTGTTGAAAAAAAGGATATTGGATTGCAGTTCAGGCACGACGTCAAGGAGAGTGAAAAGTAAAGAGAACATTCCACTTGTGGATTTTGCCTTAGCTAGATCTCAAGAACTCAAAAGAAATATGGGACTGAAAAATTATTTCGTTCATTCTCTTAAGTGATTTAAGAATCACTACCTAAAGCAGCAAAGTGTTAAAAAGTAAACTTACTGTGAAATGTAGTTCTGACTTTCCAATACTACTCCTCTTTCATTCTTGCTGATCCAAAGATTTGTAATTATTCACTCTTAGTATGTGTATGTACTAGTGGTGGTATAAAAGTTTAAGGAGATAGAATGAAGAAGGGTGGGGAAAAAGAGAGAGATCCAGAAGGTCCTAATAAAGAGAACTTGATAACTAGTCCTTAGATGAATACAAATGCAACTACAAAATGACCTCTGAAGACATCAATACAATCAGATGTTTTCCATCTAGTAAGCCTAAAAACCTTTACAAGTAGGTGTCCTCTCCACTAGCTGTTAGAGATGTAAATCAAAACAATAATGAGATATCTCACTCTAGCAACAATAGCAAAGTACAAAAAGACAGAAAACAACAAATTACTGGCGAGGATTTGGAGAGATTGGAACTCTCATACACTGCTGGTGGGACTGCAAAATGGTACAGCCACTGTGGAAAATGGTATGGGGTTTTCTTAAAAATCTGAACACAGAAATACCATTTGATCCAGCAATTCCATTACTAGGAATATATCCTAAAGAGGTGAGAGACAGGACATGAATAGACTTATGCACACCCATATTTATCATGGCACAATTCACTATAGGAAAGAGATGGCAACAACCTAAATGCCCATCAACAGATGAATGGATAACCAAACTATGGTACATTCACACAATGGAATACTATGCAACATAAAGAATAATGAAGAATACACGAATCATCTCACAACATGGATGAATTTGGAGGACATTATGGTGAGTGAAATAAATCAATTACAGAAGGACAAATATTGTATGAAGACCTCTGGTGGAATAGCGCATTTGACTGCTAACCAGAAGGCTGGCAGTTCAAATCCACCAGCCACTCCTCGGAAGGAAGGTTGGGTAATCTACTTCTGTAGTGATATTGCCTTGGAAACCCAAGGAGGGGTAGCTATGAGTCAGATCTGACTCAATGGCAGTGAGTTTATTTATTTATTTTTTTGTATTATTGTGAAAAGTCAAGGACAGCTTTACTCAAGGAAGAAAATTCACTTTGTTGGTTATCGGGGATGTGAGAGAAGGGAAAATTTCAGACTAGTTGGGGGTCACATGTTTATTTGGGTAAGGGGAGAGGTGGTTTGGAGAGAGTCTGTGACCAGCCTGGTGACAATGGGGAAAAGGAGGGCACAGAAACATGCACAAAAGATATAGACAACAGACGCAAATACTATTACATATTTGCAATAGTGTTCGTATTTGTATTTGTATTACATATTACATGCACAATACTGCATTACCAGCGGCACCGAACACTAGGCAATGGGTAAATGCACAGACAGGGGAGAAGATCAGGCGGGGGTAGGTGAACAGAAATATACCCAAGACCAAGGATAGATTTGGCTGAAGATAACTTTACATATGTATTTGTGCTACAAAATTATCCACATACATTACAGAAGTAACAGAGGACAGTGTTGGAGTAGCTTCTCAGAGACAGCCAAACACCTTGAAAGAGAGAATCACTGAGCCAGAGGGCTTGGGACCATAGTCTTGGGGGACATCATGCTCAATTGGCACAATATAGTACATAAAAACCTTTTTCTACATCCTACTTTGGTGAGTAGCAACTAGGGTCTTAAAAGCTTTCCAGCAGCCACCTACCTAAGATACAACTGTTGGTCTCCTCTCACCTGGAACAAAGAAGAGTGAAGAAAATCAAAGCCATTTGGAAATAATTCCAAAGATATGATGGATCATGAGGATCTCAGCCTTCAAGATCCCGAGACCAGAAGAACTAGATGGTGCCCAGCTGCTAATGCCAAACACTCAGAAAGGGTTCAAAATTGGAGATCCTGGTTAGAGTGGGATGAAAAGTGTAGAACAAAATTAAAAAATGACCAGATTGACTGGTTGGATAGACACTGATGAACTCCTGAGACTATGGCCCTGGGTTATCCTTCAGGCCTAGAAATGGACTCACTTCTGTGGATTGGCTCTCAGTCCAACAGTAGAAAGACCTACATGCAGAACCTACCCCAGGGAGATGCACCCCTTAGATCAATCAACTATGAGACATCAGAGGGGCAGCATTCACATAGAGGGAAAGCTGGACAGACAGGAACACATAGATAAGAAGGGCATAGGGAGGGGGTAGTCACAGGGAGTAGAGAGGAGAAGAGTTTTTCATGGTTGGGGATTGTAATTGGGGCCATGAAATCAAATGTGCATGAATTGTTGAGTGTAAAACAAATCTGTTTGTAGATTTGCACCCAAATCATAATATAAATAAATAAATAAGCAAAAAACAAGGAGGTATCCTCTCATTCTCTCTCCCCACCTCTCTTCCCTCCTTTCTGCCCCCACCTCCTCAGTCTTCCTTATTTCTCTTCAGAGAACTAGAAGATTGATAGAAGGTTTCTCATAGTCATATGGCAAGCCAGCAGCTCACACCCAGTTACTTGAACCTGGTACTTTCTTGGCAAACATTAATAGAAGACTATTTATACCATGGTTTCATTCTCCATATGAATTTAGTAATGGCAATGTTGAAAGCTTACCTTTCTTCCATTCACAAAAAGAACAAGTTCATCTGACTCCTTAGAAAGAGACATTATACCAGAATCATTGGCTGAATGTTGTGAAGTTGTATCTAAAGCAAGAGATGATTTCACCCTTGCTGTTGTGTCCAACTGAGAGACTTGCTGAGAACACCCCTGCCGGGGCATCAACAGCTAGACAGAAGGCTGTTGGGTCTGCTTTCTGGGTGTATTCCTCCAATCAAATCCTGCCTATGCTTCCAGCCCTCTTATTTCCCCACCTTCCTCCACTACCTCCACTTTCCTCCTTCCTTAATCCAATTTGAACTTCAATCTCAATTTAGTTCTTACACAATGTACAGTACTCCCTGCCCTTAGGTCAACTGAGTGGAATAAGATGTTCTTCTTACAGCCTACGAGAACCTCCTTTAGTCAGTGAAACGGAACTGAATCAAGCAAGTGTACTGCATTCAGGTACATTCCTAAGTGCTAGATGTATTTGTTTATTCATCTGTTTTTAAATGACAAACCTGTTCTTCTTTTTAAAAAAATCAAGTAAAAAGTGAAAGTCCTCCTTCCTCAAGTGTGTTTTTCAGAGTGAACTAGTGACAGATTGCTAGGTATCCATATTGCATTTTCCCATGTACATATCAATCTATAGGTATGTAATACATTATTTTTGTTTCTAAAAAAGTGAAACCCAGGTATTCATACTGCTTCCATTTTTTTTTTTTTTAAGTTACTTAGGCTCTCTGTGCCTCAAGAGAGAAATGGACAAAATAGTAGTATCTCCCTCAGGGTTGTTGTGAGCTAATATAAAGTGCTTAGACTAGAACCTGACATGTATGATGCCCTCAACAAATGTTAACTATTTTATTATTGACAAATTTATAAACAGTCTTCTAATAACCTAGATTTAAGTCTTTTTCCATTTTTATTTTTCACTATTACAAATGTCAGCAATAAAGAAGACCTTCAACAAGATGGATTGACACCTAGAAAGGCCTTCGATTTCAAGTAGACACTGTATCCTGGGGTACGGAGTCCCCTGGCTGCTAGCTGACATTTCAGATGTGATTTCAATGGGCCATTCCACTGTTCTGTGAAACTGGTCACTTCTGGGTGGTACAGTATGTGATGTGACCAGTGGGTCCCACAGTCATGAATTCCCTCCACTCTGTTGCAAAATGAATTCCTTTACTTTGCTATAAATTGATCTGACATGATGTTACATTGGATTTCATGACACTGGACTTAACACTGTGGAAGCCCTTACAGTGTTGATGGCTTAGGCCCTGCAGGCAGTAAAAACAAACCTTTACCCAAAATACGTATCTATTTCTGTTAAAATGAACCCGGTGGAAGGGTTTGAAGAGTCATCAGCTTGCCACCACTGTGGTTAATTGGCCTCCTGGAGGGATGGTGCCAAACTGGGATGCAGCAGAAAGCCTACAGGCAAAGGCTCCAAAAGGAGAATGAGAAAAAGAAATCCAGATTGTAAAAGAGAGGGGAGCATAGGATGGAGTTGGAGAGGTAGGCAGGGGCTAAATCTTGTGGGCTAGATCATCTTAGGGACTTGGGACATTATTCTGGTGGAATGAAGAGGTAAACATTGAAGGGTTTTAGGTAGGAGAGTAACAGTGTCACCTGTGTGCATGTTTATTCACGGATTTATACATAACACTGACATTAACATAAAGAATGGCTTGGATGCAGGGAAAGCAGAAAGAGGCTATTGCAATCGTCAGGTGAGGAATGATTGTGGTTTGAAATAACATAGTGGTCATGGAAATAAAGAGAGTGAGAAGCAGACTCAGAACTCTCTGTAGGTAGGGCTGAAAGGACCTCATATCTGAATAGATGCAGTGAGAGAATGGAGCATCTTGGATCACTCCCAAGGCTTAGCAGCCTGTGGATAGCTGAACTGACAAGGAGATCCACTGAAGCACATTAAATTTACCTCATTGCAAATCGTCAAGCACTGGGTGCTAACCAAGAAGTTGGAGGTTCAAGCCCACTGTCTTCGTTAGCTAGTCCTATTGTAACAGAAATAACACAAGTGGATGGATTTAACGAACATATTTATTCTCTCAGAGTTTAGGAGGCTAGAAGTCCAGATTCAGGATGCCAGCTCTAGAGGAATACTTTGTCTCTGTAGGCTCCCGAGGAAGGTTTAACATCTATGGGCCCAGCATCTCTTAGAGATCTCCATGTCTTGGCTTCAGTCTTCCCCTGGGTCTAGGAAGTTCTCAGTGCTGGAACCCTGGGTCCAAGAAATATGCTCCATTCCTGGTTCTTCTTTCTTGATGGTAGTCAGGCCCTTCCTTCTTGGCTTGCTTCTCTCTCCTCTTATCTCTTATAAGATAACAGGTGATGTAGGCCACATCCTAGGGAAACTCCCCTTACATCAGATCAGGCCTGTGATCTGAGTAAGGGTGTTGCATTCCACCCTATTCCCCTTATAAGCGATTGGCCGATCACATCAGTTCACATTATGGGAGAGATGACATCATTATCTAACAGCCAAACCACTGAGAATCATGGTCCAGTCTAGGTGACACAATCTAATCTATAACATCTACCCAGAGGTGTCTCAGAAGAAAGACTTGGTGATCTACTTCCAAAAAATCAGCCACTGAAAACCCTGTGGAGCGCAGTTCTACTCTGACACTCATGAGATCGCCATGAGTTGGAATCTATTCGGCGACAACTGGTTTAAGTTTGCTGTGTCTCTGAGACATCCAAATGGCAGTGAAGGGCAGGAGTTGGGTCTGCAGAGGTTGAGCTTAACAGAGAAAGGTCTGAACTGAAGACAGAGAGGCCGGAGTCATCTGCAGCAATGGGAAAGTGTGAGGCAAAAGACAATGGGGACCACAGCTCTCTTAGGAACTGCAACATTTACAGAGGTGCGGCTGGAGGAAAGGAGTTGCCTGGCGGACAACAGAGAGGCAGCCACTGAAAAGAGGATGGAAGCAGAGGAGAAGCAGCTCTACCCTCCCATCCTTGCCCTCCCACAGCCAGTGCCAACACAGCAGCAAGAATGACCCTTTAAATATTAGTTCTTGTTACTCTTCCGCTCTGCATTTCACTCATCTTAAAAGCCCAACTCCTTACAACGGTCTCAAGGGTCTAACTCACCTCTCATCAATCCCAGTGACGCAGGCCCCGCTGACGTTCCACAAATGGGCCAGCACCTTCTCTCCTTAGGGACTTTTCTCTAGTTGCTCTCTGCCTGTAATGCTCTTCCTCTGGATATATGCTTGGCTCACATCCTCATCATCTTCATTTCCTCAGTAAGGGCTTTACTGACCTGTTTCAACTACAACCTGGCTTATCCTACTCTAATTTTTCCCTTAGCAGTCATCACCATCAGTCATATGCTGTAACCTACTTATTGTGTGTTTTTGTTGTCTATCTCCCTTGACCAGAATATAAGACCACAGCCCCTGGCAACCACTAACCTATTTTCTGTCTCTATGAATTTGTCTATTCTTAACATTTCATATTTATATGGGTCATTCAATATGTGGTCTTTTGTGTCAGGCGTCTTTTACTCAGCATGTTTTCAAGGTTCATTCATGTTGTAGTATGTATCAATACTTCATTCCTTTGTATAGCTGAATAATATTCCTTTGTATGGATATACCACATTATGTTTATCCATTTATTAGCTAATGGACATTTAGTTTGTTTTCACTTTCTGGCGATTATAAATACTGCTCTATAAGCATTTGTGCCCAAGTTTTTTGGGAAATATAGGCTCTCAGCTCTCTTGGGTATATATCTAGGAATGGAGTTGGTCGATCATACGGTTACTGTATGTTTAACTTTTGGAAGAACTGCCAAAAAGTTTTCCACAGAGGTTGTATCATTTTACATTCCCATCAGCAATGTATGAAGGCTTTGATTTCTCCACATCCTTCCCAATACTTGTAATTTTTAAAATTATTATTATGGACATCCTAGTGGGTGTGAAGTGGTAACTCATTTTGGTTTTGACTTGCATTTTCCTAATGACTAATGAGCTCTGGTGGCATAATGGGTGAGGCATTTGGCTGCTAACCAGAAGATTGGTGGTTCAAATCTACCAGATGATCTGTGGGAGAAAGATGAGGCAATCTACTTCTATAAAGATTTACAACTTTGGAAACCCAACAGGGGTTGCTGTGAGTCAAAATCAACTTGATGGCAGTGAGTTTGGTTTTGGTTTAATGACTGTTAAGTGTATTTTCATATGTTTATTGGTCGTTTGTATATATTCTTTAGAGAAATGTCTGTTGAATTCCTTTTCTTATTTTAAAATTATTGGTCTTTTTATTGTTGAGTTAGAAGAGATCTTTACATATTCTGAACACCAAAATATCCAAACAAATTGCTGTAGAGTTGATTCCAAACTTAGCAACCCAATAGGATAGAGTAAAACTGCCCCATAGGTTTCCAAGGCTATAAATCTTTATGGAAGTAGACTACTATATCTTTTTCCTGTGGGGTGGCTGGGGGTTTGAACCATTGACCTTTTGGTTATCAGTGAGTGTTTTAACCACTGTACCACTGGTGTGCTCCTTTAGTCCATAGACTCTTTAAGTCATTATTATTTATATTTAAAATATAATTCCTCAATCCATTCTGACAAGAAAATGAGGGTGACAGCATATGGGAAAAATATGTAGAAAATTGCTTTTAACTAGACAGTATAATTTCTGTTGGTGGATACAAGCCAAATATGAATCACATATCAGTCACCATTTATTCCATTCAACTGTATAGATCTGAGAGACATCACCCCAGAAATAAATCCCATGGAGAATATCTTTCTAGAGGTAATCAGTTAGTATTTATACAAACAAAAGTTATTTTTGAATTGCTTAAGCATATCTATCAAAATCTAAATGGAACCTTTCAAATCAACTTTATGTAAAAGCAATATTCTGTGGAATGATTTCTGGTTGTGACAATCTGTCTATCAGGCTTAGCACATTACAGTGTAGATACTGGATAGTTTGCTATGTCGGAAGAATCACCCCATTTTCTCTCGAAGTTTACACTGGATTCACACAGGTATATTCCAAGGAACATAGGATCCAGGTTCATCCCTTGGGATCTAGAATAAAAGAACAAATAAGGATTTTTGCAACTTGGAAAATGTTTGGGACTTAGTGCAACACTGAAACACAGCAGGAGATAAAAATAGGCTAAACACCACCTGGAGGGGGAGCAGGGCAACAAGAAGCTGGGAACACTACGCCATGTGAAGTGTGGAGGAACCCAGGAGGGGAATTAGTGTCAGGGCGAAGGGGCGACAACAGTATCCTGTCACACTTGAAGAGAGACAGATGAAAAAAGGAGGCAATCTCTGTTCTCCAAAGTGGAAGAGGCAATTACCATAGTGGGGACTTAGGAAAACAATAAAAGATAATACAAAAAGCCAGTGTGAAAGGAGGAACAGCAGGGGGCTTTCTCCTTGGTTGTAAGGAATACCTTAGAGTCAGAGGAGTAACTGTGAATGGAATGACTTCCTCCCATAACTGGAAATTCCATCACTGAACATAACCAAGGAGAGCTGAGATATTTGCTGGGCAGGAGTGTTGTTGCAGGAGGGATTTCTGCTATTGGGGGCTGTTATATAAATGGGTCAGAGATGGCCCCCATGTATTAGCTAAAATAGCCCTCATGTTGCTTTCTTCTTCACAGCAGGCTAGGACTGTTGGCCCAAAATCTTCCAGTGCCAATTTCAAATTTTCGTACATCTAATTGATATAAATATAGTTCAAATGAACATACATCCAGCCATTTACAGCCTACTTACTTTATGTACCCTTTGAAACTACATCCAACATCTGCTAACCATAGATATGATAAACCGTGTAACTATAAAACACCCCAATCGCTGCTGCCATTTGGAGCTCTCTAACCCAGACTCCCCACCTTGCTGGTGAGTGACATCAGGGTTTTAGAGGGTGGAGTGAGGAGTGGCCCATATCCTTGGCCTGGATGATCTAGGTTCAGGGCACACTTCCTGAACTTCGATTCCTGACCAGGGTATTCGGGGAAGAGCACAAGACAAGGTACAGGGTTGAAGTGCTTTCTGAGAGGAACACAGAACTGATGGGAATTAACCTCTTTTTCTTTCAAGTAGCAACTGAATCCTACTGAGAGCCAGGCAGGGCCAGGCTGATGAAAAATGCAACCTAAGGGGAACAAGTTCAAGTGTCACTCCACTGTTCTCCTGATGAATGCTCTCTGTATTCCTGACACACTTGCTTCGGTGGAAAACCATTACTTTGGTTCTCTAGTGCTGCTATCACAGACATACCACAAGTGGACAGCTTTAACAAACAGGAATTTATTCTCTTACAGTTGTTTTTGTTGTTGTTGTGTGCCATCGAGTCGGACCCGACTCATAGCGACCCCTCCTTGGGTTTCCGAGGCAGTATCACTACGGAAGTAGATTGCCCCATCTTCTTTCCGAGGAGTGGCTGGTGGGTTTGAACCGCCAGCCTTCTGGTTAGCAGTCAAGTGCCTTAGCCACTATGCTACCAGAGGAGGCTAGATATCCAAGTTCAGAGTGCTGGCTTTAGGGGCCAGGTGAAGGCCTCTTGACCTTGGGCTTCAGCTCTGCCTCCTGTCCCAGGCCCACTAGAGCTGGAGGCTTTTTTTTTTTTTGACTCATGCAGCTACTGGCTGCTGAAGCTGATGAATCCAAGATTGACAGGTAAAATGGCATAGACTCAACATTAGCAGACAACGTGGCAGGCCACTAGTTCAAGTCCAAGAACAATCCTAAGATTGGCAGGCAACATGGCAGGGAACTGAGATGAGGATTCAGCCAAATGCAGGATCTAGATATGTCAAAAGCTGGACACATTTCTCAAAGCATCTCCTATTTACTGGAAACAGGCCACATCCTGAAGGCAATTAATGAGCTGCTCACAGCAGATTCCACCACAGAGTTAATTACAGCACAGTCAGTCTCATCATGGGGAATAACTGCATGCAGCTGCCCAGCCACTCCAAACCACAGCCCAGCCAAGTGGACACACCACCTTAACTATAACAACCACCGTGGTAAGTTAAGGAACTTTGACCACAAGGACAGGAGCCCCAAACCTAGAATTGTAGAATTGTTTCTCTACTGGGCAGCATACCATTTGTGTGAACTTGTCCTCACAGGCCATTCTAATCTTCTCTGGGGTCAGTGGACTACTGAGCTTCGATGGTCCAAACAGGCCTCTCTCCCGTCGTGCTGCACCCACTGCATCGTGGATGGCAAAAAACACAGAACATCCTAGGAATAGCCCAGACTCTCCCAGACCCTTGAAGGGGGAAAATCAACTAGATTATGACTTATAAAACATATACGTGGCGAAAAACAAACAAACAAACTCACTGCTGTCAAGTTGGATCCGACTCATAGCGACCCCTCCTTGGGTTTTCGAGGTGGTATCACTACAGAAGTAGATTGCCCCATTTCCTTCTGAGGAGTGGCTGGTGGGTTTGAACTGCCAGCCTTCTGGTTAGCAGTCAAATGCCTTAGGTACTACACCACCAGAACTCTTACATACTTAGTACATAATACATAGTATATATGTAACATATATAATGTATGTATTACATATATATAACTTTTTCATTTAAAAAATAATTTTATTCTTTCTACCAAGAATTCCCATTTTTAGGATTCTAGCTTAACAAAATAATCCCAAATGGAGAAAGCAGATATGGGTATGATGATGGTTATTGCCAAGATGAAAATCAGATACCACCTGATGGCGAGAGTAGGAGCTCTGGTGGTGTAGTTCCCAAGGCATTTGAGTGCTAGCCAGAAGGCTGGCAGTTCAAATCCATCAGCGACTCCTCAGAGGGAAGGTTGGGCAATCTACTTCTGTAGAGATACTGCCTTGAAACCCAAGGAGGGGTCACTATGAGTTGAATTGACTCAACAACAGTGTTTTTTTTTTTTTTTTGCAAGAGTAGTTCATGTTAGGCTGCAAGATTTGAAGTGTTATTTTTTCTTTTAATTTATAATGCTGTTAAACTGTTTTGCAATTAAAATGTTTAATAGGGATTTTTCTCCTATAATCTTGATTTAAAAAACCATACAACCAAGAGATGAACGTAGCCCTCTCCTACACAGATATCATGCAAACATTCATTTATTCATAGACAACAGCTTACCTTAGATGAATACAGGGTATTTGAGTTTTGAGATGGAGGCAACAAAGAAATGTGCAACTCTGTGGGGATGTCACAGATAGCAGGGATTTTATATTGGTTTGGACCACGTGTGTACAGGACACCCTGAGGAGAATAATTCAGTTCCTCTATTGTATAAAGTCCCATGCCTTGAATAAATGCTCCTTCAATCTGAAGCAAAAAATAGAATTTCCACATATGAGAAAATATGGTCAACAGTAGTAGCATTTCAACTTCATGCTGTTTGTTTGAATTTTTAAAATACAGTTTAACGGTGTTTTTAGGGTAGCTTGAAGTATGCCTCTGAAAGTTTACCTAACAATTTTTCTAAACATTTTATCCAACAATCAGTTCAAAGTCAATGGACTTGGGTTCTAATCTTGGTTTTGCTGCTGAAAGTTTAGCTCTCGGAGAGATCTTCAGAGAGCCTGTAGCCCACATTCTCTCATTTGTTTCTCCCTATGGGGCAGCTAAGTTTAAATGGTTGACTATTAACCAAATGGTTGGTGGTTTGAGCCCACTCAGTGACATCTTGGAAGAAAGTCCGGGCAATTTGCTTCCCAAAGCTCACAGCCTTGAAAACCCTTAGGGATGCTGTTCTACTCTGCAACACATGGGGTTGCCATGAGTTGGAATCAGTTGGAATCAGCAATAGGTTTGGCTTTTGGTTTGATATGGTAGCTAAACCCCAGTCAGGCTGACTGATTTATCCAGACACCAGTACACTAATGAGGGTCTCAGGTCTCAAGACTTTCATCATCTCATCCCACCACACTGACTTGTGAGCTAGCTGGCCTCGCATTTCTTGACTTAGTTTTTCCCCTTGTGACATGAGGGTTTGAATTGTGTGCTCTCTAAGTTTTAACATGTTCTTAGTTTCACATCAGCATGTGGTCAAAATTGCCTTTCCACATATTTTTCTGATTTCTGGGTCTCTACTTAGTTTACTCTCTCCTGTGACCACATTTTCTCTACCCCATTCTCTATCCTTTGCTTCTTTTAGCTGAGATGTCTATTGGCTGTCTATTATCTTGTTTTCAACCATGAGTATTAGATGAATATTCCTAAAACTCCAGGCCACTTCCCAGGTCAAGTCATCTCTGTCAACTGAATTAGGTGCCTGACCTTGGAGACCCTCCATCAACTCAGTTCCCTTTCATTCTCAAGCTCCAGCCTCACGTCCCACTCCTTTAACACAGTTGCCCACCATTGTCATCAGCCCTCTTCTCATCACCAGTTGTGAACACATGGGCTGAATTCCATGATTTTCCTTAGGTTGATTTCCTCCACTCTCCTCCAACCCAGAATGCTATTTCTTGTTCTTTCCGTGACAACCTGGTCTACATCCACTTTCCCTGAAACCTCTTTTGACTATTCCAACCCTTACATTCTCCCCATTCTCCAGTGACAGCTGGTTGCACCCCACAGTGTCGCGACTGGAGAGTAAATTAGATTCTGTTCTAAATTGCAGGTGGTGTGCTGAACTACCCACAGATGTGAGGCAGGTAAAGAAAATAAGTGAGGCTTCCGGGTAGGTCTTGTTGTCACAGAATTAGAGAACAGGTGACTCTCTAAAGATGCTGCCACTACTCAAATCTAACTGACTTTTGCTTTGTGGAAATGTAGGCCCAGTGTTGGCAAATTTGTTGTCTTTTCAAAAAAATCCAAAAAAGCTACACGTTTGAATTTTTATATAAAGCAGTCTGTGATTTTCCAATCTTATCAATTATTTCAAATTTAAGGAAACAAACATCTGGGTGCAAAATCCAGCTGCTCCTCTAACTGTTTGATGTTTGTTATCCTAATTCAACTTTAAATCCCCTTAAGACAGACCCTATCATGTGCCCCAGACCCAGCGCTCAGCACTACACTTTATTTAAATCCCCTTAAGACAGACCCTATCATGTGCCCCAGACCCAGCGCTCAGCACTACACTATATTTATTTATTTAGAGATTGTGTGTGTGTGTGTGTGTGTGTGTGAGGGGGGTGTCATTTTGTTACCTCTTGGCTTGGCCTTGCCTCATCCAAGCACCATGATCACAAGCTGTGTGTTTCTTCAAAAATTACCCAAAACACCTTTGATTACTTCCCTGTTTTGAAACAGTAAGAGATTTGAGCTCTGGGGCAGGCCTGAGTAGAAAGATTTTGACTAAAGGGGTAGAAAAGTAAGATGATGAATAAGCCAGATGGAATGTTTTCCCTGCAGATCCCCGGAGCAGTTTTGGCCTTTACAAACAGGAAGAGAACAAATTAATTACACATACCTGGCCTATGTCAAGGGCTGGATTTATACTGCAGCCAACATCCATGACAATGTCTGTTCTGATGTTCTAGTAATAAACCAAACAAGTTTACATTTTATTTTAATGAAAACAACGGAGAGAGAAGCAGCTGGGAAGTAGATTGGCATTGAAATAGAGTCTTTTTTTTTTTTTTTTTCTGGAAGGCTATGTACTTTAGGAGAAAGAAGTAACAAAGATTTCATTATGTGACAAAGAAGGGCTTTCAAAGTTATATAAATATTCTTAAGGAGCTTAACCACTGGGTTGTCCCCTCCACCCCCAGGAGATAACAGAAGAACAATATTTACTTGACTTTCATTCAAGCTGAGTGACATAACAGATTGAGTTTAATCCACTCCAATGGATACAACATAGGACACAGCAAAACATCTATGACCCTCGTGATAAGAGTTTTCATTTTCAGAACAGAGATCAATCTGACATCAAAAGTTGGTGACCAAAAGCTCTCATGAGGAGGACCACAGCAGGCCCAGAAACACCTTCCTTCTCCAGCTGGTCTGTGTGTCCTTTCATGTTTCATGTGGTTTCTGCATGACAAACATATTCTGCTTATAATTATTAATGGCACATAAGAAACCCAATAGTTTATTTGATCTAGAACTTTTAACTTTTCCCCCAACATAATTATAATAACAAATATATAAATATATAATGATAAAATATAATCATCCAGAATGTTTTCCCAGAATACAACTTTGGGTAGTCATCTCTATTATTTAAAGACACAAAAAAGTGTAACATTCTCTTTGATAGCAATGAGGTTGGCCTTCCAAGAGACAATTGACCTCAACTAGAGGTAAGGGGATGGATCTCTGGTGGTGTAGTAGTTAAGGCATTTGGGTGTTAACCAAAAGGTTGGTGGTTCAAACCCACCAGCTTCTTTGTGGAAGAAAGACGAGGCAGTCTGCTTCCATAAAGATTTACAGCCTTGGAAACCCAATGGGGGTCACTATGAGTTTTAATCAATTTGATGGCACTGAGTTTGGTTTGGTTTGAGAGATAAGGGGAGGTGCTCTGTAAAGTCTGCAATGTTGCTGAAGGTTCTGCTTTCAAAGCAGTGGACTTTGTGCTGTTTGTGATTTTCTTTTGATAGGGCTGGAGAGAATAGTTCGAGATTGTTGTGGCAAGTCTCTAAGAGGGCCCTCAGTGATCTCATCTCCTGGTATTCATATCCTTGTATATGTGCCCCACATTGTACCTTGTGACCGATATTGAGCAGAAGTGACAGTATGGCATTTCTGAGGTTAGGCTAGAAAAGAATGCAGCTTCCATATTGTGCACTCTCTCATTTGTTTGTTTTCTCTTTTTCTTGCTGATCACTCACTCTGGGGGAAGCCAGCTCCACGTCCTGAGAACACTCAGGTGGCTTATGGAGACGTCCACATGGTGAGGAATGGAGGCCTCTGCCAGCAGCCAGTGAAGAATGGAGACCTCCTGCTAACAACTCCACGAGTGAGCCTGGGAGCAGATCCTCAAGCCCCCATTGAGCCTTGTGATGACTGCAGCCCCAGCTGGCAGCTTGGCCACAACCTTATGAGAGGTCATGAGCCAGAAACACCCAGATAAGCCACTCCCAGATTCTTGACCCTCAGAAACAGTATGAGCTAATACACATTTGTGGTTTTAAGCTGCTAAATTTAAGGTTAATTTGTTACACAGCAGAAAACTAATATATAGTGTAGGTTCAAAGAAATTCTGTAGGAATAAGGACACGTCTATCAACATAAGGAGAACAGTTGGAAAACAAGTCTCTAGGGAAGGACCCTGGTGAGAGTTTACAGGTAGCCTACGTGGGGCTACAGATCTAGTTTCTGTGAAAGCATCTGATAAAACTACTTAGCACATTTCTTTAAGGGAGCTCAAGTAAGTTGTAAGAACATACCTTACCTAAAGTTTCATACCAAGGCTAATTATTACTTTGTTCTTGGATCTTAACAAGACCAAGGCATATATATATATATAAGATATAAGAAAAATCAAATGATTAAAAGCAGTGTTTTCATCAACTTTCTCTTTGAGGGAGAAGGGATATAGAAATCAGTCAGTATGAGGGAACTTTCTACCAACTTCCCTAACACAAGATAGCTACTCTAGCACATAAACCAGTGCTGAAAGTAATGACTATTTAATTCCAGTCCAATATCCCCCAAAGGTGCTCTGGTTTGCATCAGTTGTCATTGCCAGAATCCAGACAAGCCAGAAACTTGAACAGGCAAGTTTAGTAAAAGTAAATACTAAATGGAGTATTAAATAAAATCTTCCATCTGATCACAATCCAAGAATGTAGTCACAAGGGATGCTTGGAGATACAAAGAACTAGAGCTTGGCTCTCAGACAGATTTGATTATCACTCACATGATAGTGCAAAGGCATTGTTCTGGTTCCCTAGTGCCGCTCTGACAAGAATATACCACAAATGGGATGGCTTGAACAAATAGGAGTTTATTCTTACAATTTGGAGGCTTTAAGTCCAAGTTCAAAGTGCCAGGCTCTAGGGACTGTGTGAAAGCCCCTCAACCCTGGGCTTCAGCTCTGCCTCTTGCTCCTGGCCCGCTGGAGCTAGAGGCATCTCTTCATTCAGGCAGCTACCGGCTGCTGAGGCTAAGAAGCCCAAGGTTGACAAATAAAATGGCACAGTCCGATGTTACCAAACCACATGGCAGGCCATTAACTCAAGTTCATT